CCCCATCTCCAGTAACACTCTCTAGTGCTCAATTTTCTCATCTTCACCTTTTTCTTACGTATTTCCTTTGTTCTCTCTCCTCATCTCTTATCTGAAGCCCTACACAGTGATTCTGATAGTTTTTATTGGAATCTATGGTCGATCCTCTTCAATACCTTGGCCAGGGTTTCATCTTCTGCCTTGTCCTTGCTTACTTGTTTCCTCTGTCATACCTCCATGACCTCTGTCTGGCTCCTTCATCTTTGCCATGAAGTCTTTGGGGGTGTTTTTAGTGCCTTAGAGACTTAGGTCAAGGGTGCCTGACATCAGTCCTCCCTTTCCTCCTTGATTTTTGTCTATCTCAACCTCATGAATCTGCTCTCATTCCTCGACCCTCTACCACTTTTGACTATCCTCCTTTCAATCAAGTTAACCACCGCATATTCCATTAGTGACTCCCCCCTTTGTACCCATTCAGCTCAGGCAACATAGAGATTCATCTGTTTTCTGCTGTAGATCTTTGGACCCCTTTTGTGGCAGACCAGAGGGTCAATCAGGTTTTTACACACAACCTTTCTCTTCACTTCTTGTCTCTTCCTCCTCTGTCTGCTTTTCCTGTTCCATTTCCTCCTCCTTCCGAATCTTAGCATCTTCTGTCTTGAGACAGTGGTATCAGATCCTTTGGATATGAGAGCCAGCTAAAGGGTCCTTTGCTCCTCTCCAGGGTTTATTCTTGTCTTTTTTGTTGTCCCCCAAAAGACCAGGGACTGGAATCCAGTCACTGACCTTTTCTCTCTCAACCACTACCTGGTGGCTCCGTAGTTCAACATGAAGGGGTTTCTTCCTCTGTTTTAGTTTGGTTTGGCTTGTTTTGAATTTCACTCAAAGCTACATGAGGGCTATCTGTGCTAGCCATCCCTAATTTATCAGTGAAAGACTTGAGGGAAGGCAGCTAGTCATCACCCCCACCTCCAACTCTTGGGGTACTCTTTTACCAACAAATAGTGGGATTGACCGTCACATCATAATGCCTCCACAGCTGAAAGGGTGAGCACATTTGGTGGGATGGGGATTTGAACCCGCGACCCTCCTCTCTTTTAGTCCTTTCTTTCTGTCTTTATACATATTCTGATGATTGCTCTCTCTCTTTTTCTGCCATTTTCTTTGTTTCCTTGGACCAGTTTCAAGCTCTCCTCTTTAGAATCATTTTGACTCCTTATGTCTTCGACCAAATCATGGGGGTGTTTGCTCACTGCATCCAGAGTCTTAGACTTCATTTCCATTATTTTATGGATGATAAGCTCCTTCTTGCCTCTTCTTGTGAGGTTTCCTTCTCAGCAAGGCCACTTCACCTCCAAGAGGCCACTCATCTGGGTTGCCTATCATGTTTTCCAAATCATTCCTGATTTTGACTCAATACTTGGCCCAGCTTGGAGTCTTTCAATTCTCAACTCAATTGGGCTCAGCATTTCCCCAGTTGTCTGTGGAACATGGAGCATCTAGTCACCTTGACTGTCCTTGTCACCTCTTATCTCTTTTGGGGATGCTTGCATTTCTAGAACATCTTATCCATCTAGAATGGAGTTCATATGATGCTACTTCAGTGGACTTTGAGTAATTATTGGAAATTTTCACACAATCCTCTATTCTCTCTTATGACACTGCTGCCTTCTATTTCCAGTCATATGTCTTGGTGACTGGATCATGCCACTGCTACCTCACTCACACCCATATGGATTCCTATCTCTTCATTGGAACATCTTTTATGGGTTAAAGCACATCTGTGGACGACTCCATGTTCTCAGAAGTTTGGTCTCCAGTGAAGCATATCTTACACATCAATGTTCTGTAACTCTTGGCCACCCATCTGGCATGTTCCTATTTTCTACTTCGTCTTGTGGAATTGTGGTCCACTCCAACAATTCTATGATAAATTTTTGTATCAGTCATTAAATTGGGACTTGCACCAGGGACCTTTGATTCTGCATGTTGGACTTTCTATTTGGGCCCACTCTCATTGGGTTCATTTGACAGGTTGTCATGTCTTGGGTGCTTTGAACTTAGTAGCAGAACATCTCTCTCGACCAAACAGGATTCTTCCTAGAAAGTGGCCATTCCATTCTCAAGTATATCACTGGATTTATTTCTAGTTGGGCATGCCAATAACCAATGCCTTTGCTATTCCTCTCAATACCAGACTTCCCCTATTCTGGTCCCTGGTACCTCACTTAGCAAGTCTTGCTTTGAATTCGATGACAAGGAACCCACTTTGAGACTAATAAGTCTGGCTTTAGATGCCTACAACCAGGACTGGTCTCATCTCATTTTGTATGTGTGCCCTTCTCTTTGCTTTCTCCTACATGTCTTGGCATTGATTTGCAACACCCCTTGTCAAGTTCTGTTGGTGGCACCATTTTCTGTTCTTCATCAATTGGTATCCAGGGCACCTCTTCCTCTGTCTCCATCTTGGTCACTCTTGCTCCAACTTCATACCTCTCTATTTCACCCAGGAATGTCTTCCCTTCCTCTTTATGTGTGGGATTTGTCTGGTTCCTTGCTTGTGGTTTAGGTTTCTCTGACCACATAGCCTTTTTCATTTCATTCTTGTTCCTCTTTTTTTCTCTTTCTGTCTATCAGTGAAAGTGGCATATTTTTTACCACTGGTCAATCTGCCACTCTCTACCACCAGGCTTTTCTACTTTCTCTATAATATATACATAAATTTTTCTGACATCATTTCGACTTAAATCAGACCAAAAATCCTCCCTGTCTTCTGTGGAAAAAAATTAGATTACAAAGTTTTCATTGACACTAAAAATGTTACGTCACAGACATTAAACTTGAGTCTGCTGATTCCATATCTTTATAGGCCTACTATTGTAGGGGCTGAAGGGTGTGAATAAACAGACACAAACTTAGCTTTATACATTAGATATATATATATTTCATTGTCCATCCCAGACCACATTTTCCATGCATTATCAAGGAAGAAGCCTGCACCAGAGGAGGGTCTGCCCAAATCCCTAAATCATGCTTGCCACCTTTTTAAATTAGATTTGATGGTAATTCATTGCTCTTTCTACAGTAAAAGATATTTGCAGTGGTTAGGCCCAATTGGGTCCAGGCACTTCTCCAGTCACCCCATTGTGAAATTTCCCTCTCTGGTCTTTGAGGGTGGAGCATGGAAGACCTTTGCCACTCCCAGTTCCTAGCTACTAGGATGGTTGACTGGGAGAGTTTCTTACTGGTTGTAGAATTCCTATGAAGATTGTCTGAGCAGCACAATGTGGTAGGAACTAGAGCAGGGGTGTCCATGTCAGCAAGTCACTTTTATATAATATGCCAATTTCATGATGGTTTAGCCAGTTGGATGAGGCAAAGTATTCTCCTCACACAACAGGAAGGGACTTAGTCCCTGTTCCTGTATGTAAGGTGAGTAAATTGTTCAACAGAACTCTACATTCTAATCACTGTTCTAGCCACACTACACCTCATGTTCAACCCACCTGTTGTGTGCAAATGCTTTGTAGATCATGTCTTTGTACACTCATCTCAGCAATACATTGGCTTCCTCCTTTCATACTACTGTCCTGGTGAAAAGTTTTCCCTGCATGAGATGGATGTGGTCTTCCACAAGTGTTACCCCTCTAGTAAGCCCTTGCTATAGGATGTCACACTCTGAGGGTTTCCCCCTTCAGTTTTCTTCTCTGAAAGGAGCTCATCTGAAATTCTACAATTACACTGACTCCTTCACTACATCAGTGTACAGAAAAGTGAGTCTATTGTTTTGAAAGTTAACATTTTACTTTACTGAAAATGTGTTTTTGATAGATAGTATCTATCTTCACACATTTCTACCCTTCTTTCCCACCACTGGTACACATAATTTTTGTTAATCAAAAAACGAGGGCTGTGGAGGACTACTGTTACATAAATTTAAATCATGCACAAGCACAGTACATGGTATAACAGAGGTCTTAGGTGGGAGATAGCTCAAGGCTAGTGGCATGCATAAAATCTCAAAAGCAGACACATGAATAACAGCTATTCTGTGAAGAGAAGTAAGCATCTATCAGAAATACATTTTCAGATAAGGAAAATATTAACTTTAGGGACAAATAATAGCTGCTAACCATGTAGTGCTACTCTTAACAATGTAGTATTTATGTTTAGGGAAACAGTAGCTGATAACTTAAATCATGTGTATCAGGAACATGAGAGTGGCTAGACAAAACCTTTGGCAGTGGGACAAGTTCTTACTTTAGGATGTTGTGTAAGTGTCATGAGATGCAGCATTTTGTGAGGTTGCAAATGTGTTACAACAGAACAGTATTAAGCTTAGTGTGAAGATAAATAATCAAAATAGAAAAGCCATGAGTCTTTTGAAAAAGAGCAAGGATATTAGGATAGAGTGAAATAAATCCAAAGCATGTTAACAAGTCAGTTACTTCACCAAAGTTATCTAAGTAATAGAATAATAAAAACAGTTTGGAATGTAACAAACTTTTCAACTAAAAATTGTAGAAAATTTTCTAAGAAACAAGATGAGGGCCACTAAAGGTATGGTCAACACATACATCAAAATATGACCTGTTTCTCTAGGAGAATCCAAGCAGTTACCAATTATCAGAAAACTGACTTCAGGTTATCAATCCATATTATCTAGACATTGGGGAAGGAATTCTTCAGTAAACAGTTTTTTTTAACTAAGGTCTTTTTGGCTACAACCTACAACTATCTGATGTATTGTTGACACAATACTGTACTAAAAGTAGTTGTTTTCTGAGAGATGCAGTCATTCATAGTGTAATTTTATTTTATTTTATGATCAGGCAAATTGAATAGTGGTAACAATGAAACCTAAAATGATAGATAAAAATAATGGCAACTGAACATTGCAAATCATACTCTGACAACCCAGTAGGTGAGAGATTAGAATACACAAAAATTGGGTATAATCATAAATAATCTGTGTTGTAGTTAGGATATAAAATACACAAATAATGTTTAGAATTGTTAATATTAACCCCTCACTGTTTTCAGAAATTATATGACTACATGGTCACAATATATTCTTTAGAGAATACTCGTTAATTGTATTTGCTGATTATTGTTGAAAATAAAAAAACAATGGTAAAAGTCACAAAATATTGCTCAGAAAGCAGATCTCATATGTGGGTGTGTTTCCTGACAGGTGTGATGGTTGGGTCACAAAGAATGAGACAGGACATGCAGATTTACACAAATAACCAATCTTTAATTTATACCTTGACAATTTACACAGAAACAACAAAGCAGAGACCTGCAAAACAATTGAAGTCAAATTAGTGTCTTTATTGCAACAGTACTTCTTTAAATATAGGATTTCTAGAATAATACAAAAGAATTCTAATCCCAGACACTGAAATCTAGAAGTCCAATTATCTTAGCCTTTATAAGGTATTCAATAAAGAGATAATTTAACACTGTATCTTGTGGATGTTTTTGCTTTAGTTTAGTTAGGGTTAAACTTTACTGTACTTAATACAATCATTAAATAAACTTATAATTTTATTCTATGACCTAACACTATACCTTCTTATAAATTTTGATAAGCTTTTAACATGTTGTACAAAATGTCTACTAAATTATATTTACATCTGCCTTTTGTTCACATCCATTGAAATGAAGTGCAAGCACATTTTAAGGACAGACAAAAACTGACTGCTGTTTTAATAGATGCAATGTAAGGTGATCATTTAATTCTCTATATTAAAAACAAAAATGCATGTGACTAGCAAGAGCAAAGAATAGTTTATTAATTAACAGATTCTTGCTAGTAGGTGTACTCCTTTCCCCATGTAACTTAGTCTACAACATAAAAATAAAAGAATGACAAACAGAGTATCCCCAAGTTAAAATATAATGCACTTAGTTAACTTTCTACTAAACCTTACTAGCTAATAATAATAAACTGTACTATAAATAAAAAGCTGTGCTACACTCTTCTGTGTGGCAAGTTATACACTATTTTTCCACTGTCAAACTTAAATAGTTAACTAAATTATAGGTGAAAACCAAATGGTGCCTGCACAAATAAAAATGAAAGTTAACTTTGAAGTTATAAAAAAAATTTAAAGAGTAAAAAGTAAAACTACACAAAAATATACAAACCTGTTACCAGCAAATGAGATTGAGAACTTTAAAGAGTTCTCTCATACAAGTGAAAGTTGCAGAAACACTTGGTGAAATCTCATGAAAGTCTAGTAAATATTTAAGAAAATGTATATAAAATCTGCTGAAATCTTGGTAAAATTCTAGGTAAGTTCTGTGTGAATTTTGCTCTCTCAGGCCTCAAAGCTGTTTTAAATATGAAAACAAACCTTTGAGTTTCTAATACAATAAAACAGTGGTTAGTGCCTGATAGATCAGTTGACTAATGGGAAGTGAAGATAATGGGTGAGTCCACCCACAACTACTGTCCAATTCGGTGAAATAAGAATAACTCAACATGCTAATTAGAAAGTATATTGTTATTCCTTTAAGAGAATCAAATTAGAAGGTGCCTAATCTCCACTTGACCAAATTAGCCCCTGGGGAAAGGTAAAGTTAGAAATCTTCTTGAGCAATACTATATTCCAATTTTAGAAATTATAATATAAAAGAAGATAAATTTAGTTAACTTTAAGTACTGGAAATCATTTAGTACACCCTGATACTACATTAATAATAATCTTTGCAATCTTTGGAAAAGAAATAATGGATACAAACTTGTATCATTTTCATATACTAATAACAAAGTTAGAACTTATCATATAGTGACCATAATATTATCTGTGAAGTAGACTTAACCATATGCATCTGCTACTCTTTTGTCAGCTTATATGTGCGTGTGTATGTTCATAAAACACATTGTAGTAGTCAGATGTGTTCTTAAGTCTCATAACATAGGTAAATTAATATTTAAAAAATACACACAGACTAATCACTACGTTAAGTACATTTTCTTTAATTGTGATAATTTGGCTTTTGTTCCCTGGTAGGACAGTTGTAGTTTATGTATTTACAACACTGACATTTGGAGTTTGATTCCCTGTGGTGGATACAGCAGATAGCCCATTATGGGTTTGATCTAAAACAAATAAAGAAACAAACTTTCAGCCCTCTTACCAAAAGCCTTCACTGGGCATCAATGAAAGTTTTCAAGATTTAGTATGTTACTTTGGTGTGGTCATATCAATAGTAGCAATAATTGTATTATTGAAACTTTTACTTACATGAATAATGGAGATTTTAAAAACAAAATTTGTCTATGAAATAACACTGTAATATCAACAATAGTGTAAAAACAAAAAGTATCAGTAGATTGAATTGTATATTTGTAATTAAACAGAAGATAACATATAAAATTCATTAATATAATTGGTGATAAAACTTTGAATCAATGTCATAGTATCTATAAAAACTTGGTATTCTTATTCATCTTTATAGTGGTTACAACAACATGAAGGTATCAGCTGCAAACAATTTCATACTTGGGCAGAGACACATCAGGTAGATGTACAAACTGCTGCTTTAGGAAGACAATTGGAAGACAGTGAAATTGGTGAGAATATTTCTGTATGAATGTTAACAATAGTTTGAAAAATATTCCTTGAGTTTGAAATTTCCAGTTATGCATTTATAAAAGAATGATAAACTCTTATATTTCATTGACATAAATTTGTAAAGTTTACAACAAATTTAAACCTTCTCTGATGGTTCCTTAGTTCACCAGATGAAACAGAAAAATCAACGTTATATTTTGATAAACATTTAGTTTCTCAAGTTATATGCAATGCAAGTATGTTCTCTTATTCTATAATATTCCTTTTGTTGAATTTAATAATAACATTTTTTCAGGGATAATGAAACTACGACTATACAGTTTAGAAGTAACATTTGCAATTAATAAAATTCAAAATATTTGCTACATAACTTAGAAGTGAAAAATATGCACTTTGTTACTCTAAATCGTTGAATATAGTGATTTTAAAATACTTACAAGCAATTATTAATAATTCTTAAGCTTACTTGAAGACAATAAAATCAATTAAGGAATTTTTTGTTTAAACTTTTGTTATACAGATTGTCCCAACTGCAGCTACAAATATTCAGTAGCTAAAGGAGGATGCTTGCACATTCGTTGTATTCAATGTCAGTTTGATTTCTGTAGTGGATGTGGTGCACAGTACAAAATTGGAAGGGCAAGTATTTGGAATGTAATACAGAACACATACAAATTCAAATTCCTGGTGCTACTTAGATATTTATTTTTTATAGCATATTAGTGCTTTGATTGTACAATAGTAGAGAAAGAGTTAAGGAAAACATTGTAGAATAAAACAAGTTTTACATAATTTTTTGTTTTAAAGGATTTTTTAAATTATGTTTAAAAATGATAAAGTACATTATATTCAAGTAGTTTGGCATTCATGTGGAGTTACGATTATTTTGTAATGGAAATTTTATTCTTCATTTTGAGACTCCAGATTTTAGAAATTAAAGAGACTGAGAAAATAGATGCAAAATATTTTTTTATTATTATGTTAAAAAATAATAACAGATGAAGCTAAATGTGAATTTTAATTTTATCTTAACATTGGAGTATTTAATTCTTATTGTATGAATGAATAAAGAAACCTAAAATCAAGTAGAGAAATAAACTGAAAATATCCATTCCATAACAGTTGCTACTATTAATTGATTGAGTAGAGAAATGCACTGAGCATTTTCATTTATTAGCTACTGTTATGGTTTCAGTCTATTTGTCTACTTAATGTATTGAAACATCTTCATTCCATAACAGTAGCTAATATACATTAAGTAGACAAATAGACTGAAACATCTTCATTCCATAACAGTAGCTAATATACATTAAGTAGACAAATAGACTGAAACATCTTCATTCCATAACAGTAGCTAATATACATTAAGTAGACAAATAGACTGAAACATCTTCACTTCATAACAGTAGCTAATATACATTAAGTTGACAAAGAGACTGAGCATCCTTGTTCTTATTTTTTTTTTTTGTTTAGAAGTGCCATGTGACTCAACAGTGTTTGAAAATGGGTTTCCATGGCCACCACCTTAGAAACTGTCTGTATTATCTTCGTAAGAAAAATGCTGTCATATTACAAAAGCTTTTAACTGTAAGTTACTCAATATCTACTTATTCTTGAAAAATTGTTTTAAACTTGATTTCTAAGTTCAGCATCTAATAACTTACTTCAATTCCTTATAAACATAAAGCCTCATATGACATATGTCAACCATTATTTCTTTGCTAGGACAATTTTTTATTAGTTTTGTAATTTAAGTTCAACAAGTTTCTAAAATCAGTCTTTATTTGATTAACTGTGGCAGACAACACTGTTTCTTAACATTTTACAGTATCAGTGTTTTATTTTAAAGATTCTGTTTAATGATGGTTTAACTGTTGCATAGCTTATTCATTACAGCTGTTGAAGAAATAATATATGGTATACAGTATTATTGGAAATCTGCAGAGCCACTTTTTTAGTAGGGTTACAAGGATAAAAAATATTCAATTTAAATAGCTGTCAAGACTTATCAAAAATAGTTTTCACAAGAGATAGAATTTAGAAAATAATGCAAAGTTTAGGATTTTTGCTAGATTAGTTTTAACAGTCTTAAAATATTTTCATATTATTGTAGATCACTCATTATCCTATCATTACAATAACCAACTAAAATTTTAGAACTTTTGAAAGACCTTACACTTGTTTGCCTATATTGTTGTTAAAGGTGATTCACATTAAATGGAACTCATCCTGTATAATAAATTTGAAAAATATTTGGTTTTATTAGTTTTAAATCTGCTTCATACACCAAAAAATATTTTGTTAATAATTAAAAAACTAAACTTTTAGTTGCCTTCAAGGAATTTAGATGTAGTACATATCAATACACTTATAACTGTAACAATAATAAGACTGTGGACTGTATATTACATTACGTTTATATAATATACATTGTGGGTTTAATGTTTATACATGTTTAGTATCACTAGTCTTTGAATTGTGATTTGGCTGTTGCTTGTTGAGCTCTTCGTAAGGAAAAGGTTTATACAGTTACAGGAAAGTTTTATTACATCCTTATGTAATGTCTTATAGTGTATATTATTTTATTTCACATCTAGGATTGTGGAATAATGTATGAAACAGAACCACCTACTGGTGAGAAGATGAATGAACAGTGTAGTATTGTAGAACCAAAAAAAACTCCCCAAGGTCTGAAGGATGAAATATGTGGTAGAAATGTTTTGGATGGATATGCTGGCTTGTGCAGGTAAATATATATATATATATATATAGCAATATAATCAGAAATCATTACACATAGGTTGAAGAATATTGTAGAGTGTATAAGTAGAAATTTCCAGGTCGAATGTTACACTTTTGCACTCAGAATTATTTACAGAAACTATTACTACTGAAATAACAATGGCAATATAATTTAAAGTGTAGTAGCTACACATGAATAATTTTAATTGTTACAAACAGTCATAAATATAGTAGTGTTATAGGTAAAAATATAGTAATTATAATCACATGCAATTAATATCAATGGTTGTATAGTTTCAACTAGCAGAAATCCTTATAGATAATCGGTAGTTGTTTCAAATAACCTGTTCTGTAACTTCCGATACAGTACATACCTCCTGTCTCAAGATTAGCTATTCTAGTTCAGTGCTGCTCTCTATATGCAAACTTTTCATAATGCACGCCACAAACCTTCTGCACCCCCTCTGTTGGAAATATCATATTCCAACATGTCTCTCATGTTTCATCTCTTAACCAATAGTAGCCTGACATGCTCACGTGACTCCCTCTAAACTCCTCTATCGAACCTTCACTTCTCGTTTGGCAGCATTAGAGTTCAGACGTTGTTTTTTTTCTTGTGTGCTAGTCCTAGCATGTGATGACAGAAAAATGTATTTTTGAATATAGCTTTTAATTTCTTTTCTCCTATAAACCTATTCAATTTGTCGCTATCTCTTTCAGCAATAATTGTTCACTTATGAGTTCTGTTTTGCATTATGAATTCCGAAGTTTGCGTTACCACTTCGGGAGTCACACCAACAACTAATGTTGTTTCTTAGGCCTCATATGCAGACAGTCCGACGGTAGATCTTTCTGCTTTTATACATCGGGATACTGAACACTACATGGATCAACCTTTGTCCCCTGACAAGGCTTCTCCTGAATTGGCGGGACTTCTACAAAATTACAAGGATTTTATTGTCTTTTCCTGCCTTCAGAGTTTGCCATTTCTTTCCACTTTCTATCTGAGGAATCACTTAGGCCCAATTCAGTCTTCACGGATTTGGTGTCTCAGGTTTGTGATGTTTTATTCCATTCCCCTATATCTTATTCCCCTCGACATTCTTTATTACATGAAACCTCTTTTCAATCATTTTTGGTTTTCCTCCCTCCCCAGATATTCAGGTACATGTTGGTCACTTTGTCTCTCAATTAAGTGAGGGGATCAGCATGCCGCACTCCCCAAGGCCCTCATATCAGCACGCCTTTTCTTATCACCATGCAGACTATCCATTTTTGGATCAGCGGTTGTTGGGTTCTTGTTACCTCTTTGAGGGGTGGCTCCCAATTATAATATTAGTGTTACCCATGCCCAATATTCTCGCCTTCATCTTACCCTAACCACCATTCTACAGTATCTTTCTTCCATACATCTTCTCTCTGAGGCACTCTACAGAAATCCTGAGGGGTTTTTTGCAGATACCCTGCACATTCTCTTATCCATATTAGCTTGCACTTCTTTCTCGGCTCTGTCATTACACATGTGGTTTCTTTGCTGGTATTGGTAGGGATGCTGTATTGGCCCAGGTCAGTTTACCCTCTCCATATCAACAGGACTTACATCTTGCTCAATTTTTGTGACGTCATGTCTTTGGTGCTGTCCCAGAAACTGTTGAGCCTCAGGCAACATCAGCCCAATGGCAATCCATCTCGCATCCTTTGTCGCCCATTTGTCCCAGTCAGAGCCTCATATGCCCCTATTCCCATCTCCCGTCCTTATTCTCCCAACCCTTACCTGTTCCTGCTAGTCGGAGAACATCTTTTCCTCGATGATAAAACATCCATCATCAACATACTGGTTGGGACTGGTAGGAGCTTGACCATTAGACTTTCTTCCTCACTGCCATCCCTTCACTGAGGATCAGTGGGTGATACAGGTCCTGTCAGAAGGATTCGTTCTCCAGTTCCCCTCCTCCTTGCCTCTCCTCTTCCTCCAGATCCCATGGTGTGCCAGCATCTGTCAGAGGCAGTTTGAGAATTGCTTTCGCAGTAGGCTATCAAACTGGTCGGCCACCTTTTGGGGGTTTTCCCCATCTTTTCATGGTCCCCAAGAAAACCGGGGATTGGCAGCTGGTTATTGATTTATCTCACCTCAACTGCTTCATTGCACTTCCCAAGTTTATTATGGAGTCTTTTCTTACCCTGAGATGGGCGTTTTAACTGGGATTGTGGATGATGAAAATGGATGTCTCCAATGCTTCAGTGCTTCACATCGTGATTTTCCAGCAGTCTCAACCTTATCTTCGTTCTGTCCATCTCAGGGTGGTTTACCAATTTTGAGCCCTTCCCTTCGGACTTGCATTGGCTCCTTATGTGTTTTGTCGCACTGTCTGGGCATTTGATCATCATCTTCATGCTCTGAAAATGCGATTTCATTATTACATGGATGACTGGCTCCTGCTGCCTCATTCCAAACCGGAATTGACCACTCATACCCACCAACTCCTTTCTGTGGCAGCTTGAGCGGGCTGATTGATCAAACTGGGGAAGTCGTTTTTTTCAATTTACACAATACCTGGTCCATATAGGGTTTTTTTTACATCAATATCAGTCATGCCATGCCTTCTCCTTTAAGTCTTTGGTCCATGGAACTTTTAGTTCACAGAGCCCTCTCGACTTGGTCACTTACTGCTCATGGGGTTCTATCACTTTTGGGGAAGTGGTCCTCCATGACTGCTCTTATCCCTCTTGGTCATGCCCACATGAGATCCCTGAAATGGGCATTTCACAACAGATGGAACCTTGCTCGAGAATCTTTTTCCACCATCATCTCCCTTCCTCCTTCCCTGCGAGAAAAACTGCATTGGTGGCTGAATAAAGCTCATAAGTCAATGGCCATGCCACTTACTCCCCCACATCTGGATCTACATTTGATCATGGATGCATCCCTTTAAGATTGGGTGGCGTGGAAGCTTTGGGCCATTAGTTTGTGGACGAATTTGTCTTGCATATCAATGATCTCGAACTTCTGGTAGTACGTCAAGCTTTACATCACTTCCTTCTCGTCCGTCATTGTCTGGTAATGTTTCATTCAGACAATTCTACAGTGTTAGCACATATCAACCACCAAGGGCACCCAGTCCAGAGACATCTGTTTTTGGATATTGGAGGTTTTATACTTGGCCCAGGCACGTCATATTCGTCTTATTGCATGTCATGTGGCTGGTGCTTTCAGTCTTGTCACAGATCATGACTGGACCAGATATATCCTACAGTCTGGGCATTGGATTGTCTCGTTTTCCGAGACCTTTGCCATCATTTGAGTTCTCCCCAATTATATACTTTTGCCACGACCCTCAATTCCAAGTTACCCCTCTTTTGGTTACCTGTACGATATCCCTAGGCCTTGGCAGTCGATGCTTTCAGCCAAACACTTGTATGTGTACCCTCCAATCTGGCTGCTGCATCAGGTGATTTCTCTGGTCCATTCCATTCCTTGCAAAGTCCTCCTGATAGCACCCTTTTGGCCAGCACAACCTTGGATTCCCAGGTTAGAGCATCTGCTCCTGATACCACCAGTTTCTCTTCCACTTTCTCCCTCCCTTCTTTGCCAACCTCCTACATCCCAATCTCCTCGTCCTCCATCATCATGTCAGGCTTTTGTCTGGTCCTTGGCGAGAGGCTCTGGTTTCACTCATCAAGTTGCCTTCTTGTTAGCTGGTTCATTATGACCATCTTTTTTAGAAGTCTGCCAACATAAGTGGAAAATCTTCCACTGTTGGTCTGCTAGCAGAGGATTTCCTGCTGACAAGACATCTGTGGCTCATGTTACAAAATTTCTCACCTGGCTGTTTGATCATAGTTCTTTGGTCTCCTCACTTTCAGGATGTCGGGCAGCCTTATCCCATACCTTCCGTTTTTCCAGATACTAAGGTTTTCCTTTCTACTGTTTTTACTGGGCTCATGTGTTCCTTCAGGATTTTACCTGCCTTTCCCGATTGGGACATTAATGTGGTCTTCCATGCCCTCACTTTACCTCCTTTTGAACCACCTTCCTCATGCTCCTTATGTCATTGGTCCCTTAAACTTATTTCCTTCTTCTGTTGGCCTGTTCACCATAGATGTATCATTTACCTTTTATCACCCTACCTATAATCTCCTTTATCCCGATCATTCCTTACTTCCTAAAACCTCGGCAGCTTGAGAAGGTTGTTGATCCTTTTCTCCTATTTCCCTGCCTTCTATATTCCATCTTTACCCTCGACCACATCTGGATGTACTTCTGTTATATTGCATGTACTGCATCTTTTCCAGGTATGCACAACTCTCTATTTGTCCAGTGTCAATCCTTCTCCTTTTGTGATCTTTCCCTTTCTACCCTTATGAATTGGGTTCACCTAGTGGTTCATTTTGCCTACTCTTCCCAGTATGATCATCTCCCGCTATCTTCATCGTATCACGCTTTCCTTTGCATCGGGGTTTCATCTATCACTTGTGGCTGTTCTCTAGACTTTAGAGTGACTTTGAATGATTAGTTTTCTACATTTTTTTCAGGGGCCTTTTCTCTCCCTTTTTATCATGGATCCTGCTCTGTGGCGAGTGGTGCCAGTCCAAGTATTCTTTAACTCTGAATCTGTACTGTCTGCCATGTTGACTTGTGCTTACTAGTCCATGGTACTCATGCTCGCTGTTGAGATAGGGTGTTCCACAAGATCACTTATGAGTGAATAACTTTGTGATGTCATATCTTCATAAACATGCTCATCATGGACCATACCACCCATGGGGATTGCTGCCCATCCCTGCCATGCCTTGTGTGAATAACCAGGTATAGCCTGCTTTTCAAAATAGGGTTTTGTGGTCACCCATTGCACTGTCTTCGGTGATGGCATTCCTCTGGGCTCTCTAACACATTCTCACCCTCCTTTATTCGAGTGGAGTATGGGAGTCCTTGCCATTTTCAGTTCCAAGCTGCTGGGGAGGTGGACCATGGAAGCACCCTTCTGAATGAGTTCCCCAGACCAT